TTTTGGGGAATTGAATCTAATTTACTCAAGTTTGTTGAATAAAATCTAGTCAACAACACTTCATTGATGAATTGAATCGAAAAGATTTTTACTATTGTTATTGAAACAACAATCTTTCGTAATTTGTGCAATTGAAGGTTTTTTATTCATCTGAATTGCAAATTTGTATCAACATCAATGAATCGTTTGTCATTGATATCCATTAGGATCGTCTTTTATTCATCTGGATCAAAAGCTTTCAAATAATCGTCAGCAGAAGCTTTTTTATTATTCGCCGTGCATTGTTTTCATTAATCTTGAGCAATATTCTTTGTTAACTGTCATCAAACCTCATTATTAATAAAAATGAGCAGCTTTTCATCAATCTCGTTTACAATATTTTGATTTTACCGGATGGCAGTGACTATTTAAACGCTCCACGATAACTTTGACCGTGGATATACGAAACGTTTTCCCGTGGATTCAAGGTAATTTCTACCGTGGATATATGGGAGATCATGGACCCTCAACTTTTACTTCACAAATTAAATCTAGACAATAAACTAGACACATCGAATCAATGGATAAGTGATACACTGATAGAATGATTCATTTATTCCAAACGTTAACTATTAACGAATGGTAGAGTTCAATATGACCAAATGAATATTTGTTAATAGTTAACGAATGGTTCACTTGAATGGCGAAAGTCAAGTCAAACAAGGCTCCTCAAATATACATTCGTTAACTATTAACGAATGAACATTTGGTGGGACCGAATAGACCCTAACCTCCAACCAAAATCCATTCGTTAACAATAACTAATCCGTTCTATCAGTGTATGCAGACAGTAAACTACTGAATAATTTTCTCAAAATATTAATTTGTTGAATACGAATATCAGTCTGGATTAACGCAAATAAAAAATGAAATAAATAGTTGACAAATAGATGACTGAACGCAAATAGAAGATGAAATAAATAGTTTTTTACATTTTATGTGAACGTTTTTTCAGGAATGTTCGTATTTGTCTAATGGGGTCGGAGTGCAGGAGTGGGTGCCGAAATATTCGAGTGCAGAGATATCAGACAAGATGTGAGTGAGAATCTACCGTGGAGCGTGCGAATAGACACTGCCTATCCGGATTGAAAGTCGTTCATTAACTCAATTAGACACTTATAATTGACGTCAATTGAAACGCATTGATCAATCGCCATGCACATCTTCTTATTAACATGAATCAAAGCTTGTTATCAATCTGAATTAATATTTTTTAATTAATGTTGATAAATTACTTCCAAATCAAAACTTCTACTGAGCTCAATTGAAAGCCCAATTTATTTGTTTATTAAATCTCTGGATGGAGTTCTTTTCAGACTTCTCCATTTTTAAGATATTTGCAGACATTTTTAATTACACTGTTGAAAAAAATTGACTGAATGTTCCGGAAAAAGACTGAGTTCGAATTGAGCGGAAAAATTCAATGGAATTGGTAGTTTCTCTGAAAACTCAAGTGAAGTCCTAATTTTTTAGCTGCAGAAAGACGAAAATTTCACAATCTACATGAATTTTCAAGTAAAAATGACTATTCACTTTTAAATTCACTTGAATTTTCAGGGAATGCCATAAAAATTCTTAGAATTTCTGGAATTGTGAAGGAATTTCTTGAAAATTCAGCGGAATGCGGAATTCAGAGAGAGATTGCTCTGAATTTTCATTACTTTTCCCAGAATAATTAACCTATAATTTACAGTTTTTACGGATTTTTGGAAATTGGACATTTTTAAGGAAATGTTTCTTATTAGAAATTTCCAAGACTCTGACCGGAAATTTCCGTGCACGGAGAAAATTTTTTTAGAAAAATTCTAGTGCAAGCACTGCAACGAACAGGACGAAATTCCAGTGCCGGTACTAGAAATTTTATTGGAGAAAATGTGAATTTTTCCTCGTATTTCTGTGAAAATTTCACAGAAACCCCCAGAAATTTTACCAGAAATACCAAGAAATTTTACCTTAATAGCACTAGAATTTTTCGCAGCCGGTGGATTGTGATTTTTTCCAGTACTCGTACTAGAATTTTTCTAGAAAATTTCTCTCCGTGTGGAACGTGTTAAACAGCTTTTAAATAATCAGAACTAATAAAAAGTCGTGAATGAATAAGAACACAGCAGACCCCAAATAATTCATCTGAGAGTCGTCCACCCAGGAGGGCAAATATCGCATAGATCAGTCAGGATCAGATGCAAATCAGATTCATTACTGCTAAGCCAAATACGTGTGTGTACACCCGCCAGTCACTGCCAGTCCACACACAAACTCCCACATTGCTGAGGGTAAACAGAGTGCGGGGGTGTGTCAACCTTCACTCTCCTCCCGCTCGTTATTGCGCGGTTACGCGTTCCCTCTGTCCCCTGACCCCTTCACAATCCCCTTCCCCTTCCCCCTCGGAGCGTCAAGAATCCCCTGCCCCATGTGCGTCACCGGGGAACACCCTCACCGAGGAATAATGAGAATTGAGGAAACTTTTTCATCGGCTAAATTGACGAGTAATGAAATGATTATTGGAGATGATCTGGTTTTATTCAAACGAGGTAAACAGAGGTTCGTCGCGCACACTGGCACAAGCCCTTGGGGAGGGTGACTAGGGATACTGGGGGCACGCGAATCGTTACTCCGGGGATTACGGGGATTATACTGAGATTGAATCACTTCCCACTCACCCATCTGGACACACCGACATGCTCGAGATATGTCTAAATACTGTTTGTCTTGCTTGGGGATCCGCTTTGTGTGGGTGCTAGCTCCCTTAATCATTGTGTCTTTAGCACTATGACCTGTGGGGTCTGGAGACTATTCCAGTCGATAAATGAGAGCTTGTGTTGTAGTGGTGGAAACTGAAAATTCCGGACGGGAAATAATTCAACAATTGGAGAATAAAATTTGCTGAATATATTAATATTTCAAATTATAACGTAAGTTGTCACACGAAGCTTCTGACTGGCCATCGCCCGAGGGCCTTCAGTCTGGTATGCACATATGATATGCAATGTTTTGATTATAGGATCCAGAAAAAAACAGAAGAGTGGATAAATAATTATTTCAGGTAGCTGATAGTATTGGTTTACGTTGTCATGGATGAAATGAGAGTGAAACAATTTGATGGATGTAGTCATGGTTGTGATGCCGTCGAGACTAGTCGAGAATTATTTTGAAGAGATCATCACGTTCTGGAAAACCATCGGAAGTTTTGGAATCGTCGCAATCTCGAAAGACATTGGAGCGGTGCATCTTGTCACAATTCCGGGAGGATTTATCCTGCCTGGGTCTCAAGATTTTCGGTTTTTCAAGTTCACGAGACGGACGAGACAGATATCGAGAGAAACATTCGAAAAACAGAAAATACTGAAACTCAGACGTGATGGATTCCTCCAAGTTCGTGACGGGATGCACCGTTGAAAATTCCAAGATTTTCTACCTGCAATTTCAGAAATAATTTTCAGGATCAATCTGCTCAGCGGGAAAAAAGTTTTTACTCGAGAAGAACAGATTTTTTTTCCTCTAAATAGAGCCAATTAACGTGGCTCCGTGGATGAAGAAATCGAGTCGTAAAACCAAGTTCAAAACAAACTACCAACATGGGTTATTCCGGCCCCTAATGAACTCACTGTTTAATAAAACTCGTGCGGCCTCACAGTCGTTGGCACCTCGCCCTCGGCTCGTTCACCCCCGCGAGCTAATCTGACTTTGATTAAACTTTTAGCGACACCTAAAAGCTGGGGGCACAGCTGATGGAACGGTGTACACGACCGTTGAACGTGTAAGTCGATTTTTATTGCGTTCTTTCGTGCATGAATTAACTCTATACCTCCCTTGTTCGATGCAAGACAGATATTCGAAGGGTTGGGGCTTTCTGGGCGAGGGGGATTAGTCTAATAAAATTTCGTATGCAGACGGAATTGGCTGGAATTTATATTGCATCGGGGTATTGTCGTACCGTGGTGTTTCCAATTATCGCTATTCGAAGAGTCGATGAGAATGAAGATGAAAACAAAATTGTCATCAGGAAAAAAATCACACAAATTATGATCTAGGTGTAAGTGCAGAGCAAAAATGTACACTGTTAGAATTTTATTGAAATTTAAGCAACAAATGCATTTGAATTCGCAATGCTGCGAATGTCGAGTCAATTTAATATAAAATTGTTGACGAACTTCAATGGAATCGAGATTTTAATGACATCGAGAAGCTGAAACTCGTTGTGAAAATTAAACATGATATCGAATTGAATTTTCAACGGATTGAAAATTCCGGAAGATAGGCGCCTGATTTTCAACATTTCCAGTGATTTTCATTGCTATACGGACCTGAAAATTATATCGATGAATACTCCACAAATGGGTAAATGGGTCGTTGTCAAAAAAATCAAAGATTTTTTGCTTGAAATTTCAAGACTAATTATCTAACAGTGTTTTTGAGGAATTTTCGTTTGGAATAGAGGAAGAATGTGAGTGAAAGGATTAATTTTAAGACAGTAAACATAAAAATTTGCAAGGTGTTAATGAAAAAGCGTTTTTTCACGGGTGTTCCCGCAATTTTAATTGTTTTTTTTCCGTGCAACATCAGCGACACAAGTTGATAGAAGAAAACAAAACTCCAAACACTTGATGAATTCATTTTATGAATGCAAAGATTTTATTTTTATCGTGATATGAATTTAATGATTGTTAATCACTTCCTCGTTTCCCAGAACCAGACCTCACATGAATAAATACTTAAGATAAGAGAATTCTCTTGCGGGAAAATCACCATTTCAGTTTGAATTGATAGCTCGCTAGCGCCATCACTACCCAACTCCACGTACTAGCGACCTTACCATCAATGAATATCATTGAATCCCTGCATTACTGATTGCAGAAATATCTCCGATGATCAACTCGAGTGGAAAAAAATTCAAATGAAATGAAGAAGCAGGATTGCAGAAAATTCAATTGCAGGTGTACGACTCCAATAAAAATAAACAATATCATTGAATCACTTTATTGTCACACGCCATGTCTGGCATTGGGGGTATCTTTTTTACCTGGTATATTATACTGGATACAGTCACTAACGCTTTATATTAATTATTCCCCAACCAGCCCCCACGAAAATCCATCCCCCCAAATAATTTCTAATGGTATCATAAAAATTGATTTCTCATTTTTGGGCTGATCGCTCATGCAATATGTACAGTCTTCGACAAACGTCTTGTTCCCTATAATATAATTTTTTATATAGTTTCCGAGAAATCACTTTTTAGTCGTAAATCAGTAGACTCAGACGCCGAATGACGGAAATTCGTGGAGACTCTTCGAGAAAACGTTTTTTTTTTCTAATCGTATTTGCTTAGGTTTCGTTCTTGGTTTTTCGGATTTTTTTTTTTCATTTCACTCTGAGAGATTTATTTTGTTTAATTTTACATTCTCACATACCACGCGCTCTCAAGGGAAACAATAAGTACACGGTCGTATTTCACATTTTGTTTTATATCACCATTGACAAATTAGAAATGTACGAAGCCTGTCCCGATTATTTCGTCTAAACTCGAGTAGTAATTTTCACCTCATCGTTAATTGTTTTTTTTCTTGCTTTTATCGTGTTTTGTTAGTAAAGGTAAGGATCACCATTTTACGACCGACTCGTGCGTATGAAATTTCTCTCTTCTGAAATTATTCATTGAGTGTCTCCCCGCACGAATCAGTCGTGACATTAAATACAAGATACAAGATAACTTATCCTACATGTTTTTTTTGGACTCGACTCTACAAGGTAGTCGTTAATTAATTTGATAATTAATAAATTGTTGGCATTGTCGTTAATCCGCACTTCGTAATTTTCCATTTGTTCCTGTGTCACACCTCATTACTCATCAATTCTTTTAAAACCCTAAGTTGGCTCGTTAAATTTGACAAAAGTGGTACCCCATTGCGCTTGGATGATATAATTGTTTAAATTGCTGATGTTATTTGGTTCTCAATGCTTCAGTTTCCCCCAAAATGATCATTCAATGTCATCGAAATAAGCATTCGTGTGCAATCCAGATATTTTTAATCGTAAGTTTTTTTTTTTTCGCTTTGTTAAGTTTAATTAGTATATAGGTACAAAGTCGGATATTAATTTTTTTTTATTCTTTCATTTATTATTTTTGTTGAAATTTACGATTCGTTATTAAGATTAAATGTATCCATGATTCACCGCCGAGCTATCGAATTGAGCACGCCTATTTACAAATCGGCAAGGCAAGGGTAGGAATCAGTTTTCATATACTTTCTCAAATGATTAACGTAAATAATATGTATCAATTTTTCGTTTCTTCGTTTATTTTTTTTTTCAAGTTTAGTGAAAATGAATTTTCAATGGCAAAAGAGGCAGTCTTTCTGTCACTCACAGCGGGTCAAAAGAAGACGTAATTCAAACGATTTTGGTATTGATTCATTTTTCAGTTTTTTTTCCATCGATTTATCTGATTAACTTGATTTTAACTCTTGCTATGCCACTTTGCGGGTATCAACGAAGCACAGCACACTCTCAAATGATTTGTTTCATTGTAATTCACTCATCATCATCCTCACGATCGTTTTTCATCGCTTCAACTTTTATTACAATATTCAACGACACGGTGCAATCTTTAATGGTATGTGCAACATTTGGATGTGCCCAATGGATTGTTGTTTGAAATTTTGCATTAGAAATTCGCCCCTCCCTCCCCCCTCCCACTCAACTCAAACAAATCATCACTAATGACTCTCACTAATCCTTTTTATCCCCTTAAATCTCGACCGGTAGTACTCTCACGAATACACGACACACTCTTTCGTAGAAAAGTCTAAGAAAAAATTCAAACATTCCCGTCTGTCAAGTCTAAAGTATTTTCTCGGTGTTGCTTCTTTCATTCGTTAGTTTTTTATTTTTTTGTTTTTTTTTAGTAAGTTATCAAAGATCTACGTCTGAATAGGATATGCAATATTTTATGTTTTTTTTTTCAAAGCGCGTAACAGTCCGCGTCTTTCTATTCCCTGGTGATGTTCGATAGCATCAAAAATTGTCATGAATCATTGAAATTAATGCAGGGTTAATGAAAAATCATAGAGCTTGGTGATTGATTTCAGGGAGTAGAATAGACGCGCAATATGGCGGATTACAAACTGAACATTTTACATTATCGATAGTCTCGTATATTTATCCATTCTCCAATTTTGTTCACGCTATTACAGTGTTTGTTATTCTCTCTTGTTACTTGTAGTTGTTTTATCCATTTATTTGACCCCCTGTGACTATAGTTCGCCCACTCACACTTTGCAAAAAGTTTTACTTAGAAATTTCAGCTTACTCGTTAAGTCGTTATTTTTTTTTAATTTTTGGTTTTTCAGCTTGTCTTTTTCACAGTACTTACAATGTTTCATCAATTGTTATATTTTTTTTTATAATCCTCGGTTATTCTTTACGACTCTAAAATTCAGTATTTATTTGTTTTCATGAGTAAAAAATCCTCCTTGTTTTGTTGTTTTAATTTTTTTTTTCAATTTATGGTTGTTTCGTTTATTTTCTTTTTATTTCCTTCTAATTTTAGTTAAGCACATTATAGATATGATAAGATACTTCCATCGCTCTCACGATCGTTTCGAATGTTCTTTTTAATTCAAATGCTGCCTACGGTGATGTGAACCCCAGCAAATAGTCTAGGCTTCCGAAATTATACTGAATCAAGTTGAATTAAAACAAGTTGACATGAGGTGATGAGCGAATTCGTATTTTTTTCTTCAACAAATTTTCCTTCTTAGTTTGCCGTTGTTTATCTGCGTGCAACCATGCGACGTGCAAACACGGATGAAGTTAATTGATAACATGACGATCAACAGCTATACAATAAAATACAAATCCTATTTTTCTCCTAAATCGAATCACTCCATTCACTCGATTGTGATTCACATAATCGAATAAATTCAATAACAAAAATATTATTTACCCTAGGATGAATGCAAGTTCAAATGAAAAACTTTGAATTCTCAATGAGAAAAACATTTACCAGGCAGTTAAAAACATAATGCAAGTCTCTTTATATTTCCCCCTAATTATTCAACATATCTTATTCATCACACGGCGCTTTTCAGTCACGCAATATTCGAGATGCATGCATACCTCCTCGCCGTACAATTATTTACACCAAGGTACGCACACAGTGACAAATAAATTTTTCACCCGAATATTGTGATTCAACTTGAATTCGTATCTTCTTCACTGTCTGTCGATGGCGTACAATGGCGTGAGTACACGACAACGTAAATGTGAATATAATAAGATTATGAAACAAGAGTAGATGAATTAAATTCAAGGTTTGAACATCGCTCGCACTCAGCAGTCAATAGAATTGAAAGATTTCTAAATTTAAAAACCTTTTCACGGCGTGTCCCAATTTATATACAAATATAGCAACGGTTCATAGTTTCTTTATATCTATACATATATCTGTATATTGTTCACGACCGGTATTAATTCCCTCGGCTACCGGCCTGATGGATACATTCATCGAATTAATTTTCTCAAAGTTCATTATCGCTATTTTTAAATCACTGACGCGATTATTCAGTTTTTCGCACTCAACCGATCGTCCACTTACGTCGATCACATTTTTTTACATGCAATGCTGTTTCTTCTTTGGTTTTCACTTTGATAGACACACCACGTTCGAGTTTATGTCAGCATGACGTTCACTCGAGCTCCATTGATTTCACTGCAAATATGAGAGAGAGAGAGAGAAATTAGGAAGAGTGGGGCGATTCATATCGACACGACAGCCAGGGGATTATTTCACATTGAAGACTCCGAATACGGCTCTGGAACTTACCTCAATTTCAATTATTAATGGATTTGTCAAGAGGCAAACTGGATGTTTCAAATTATCTACAGGGTTAATAGTGGTGCAAAGATGTAAAGATGTGAGGAAATGAAAGAATTCTTTGGAAAAACTTTTGAGGGTGAAAAATTCCTGAGTCTAATATGAGTTTTTCAATCGAGGATGAGAATTTTCTATTGAATAAACGCATTCTCCAGGTATCGATAGGATTCAAAATTATAATTCTGTCATGCTTAAGAATATTTGTCGCCAATGAAGAAATAGAAAATGTCTGTCTCAAACCGCAGACGTAAAGAAATTAGTATTTTTCAGCTGATGGATGAAGTTAGTTTCTCAGGTTAATGAAAATTTCAATCTACTAACTCAAGTTTAATGTTTTAAATGTCTCCCCCAATAAGCGAAAATAGCGCTGTTATACGTTCTAAAGACATTCCTGAGGAATCCTCCAGATACATCCGCATGAGAGTATAGAACATCCAAAATACATTCCTAGTACATAGCAGTGGCATGTATCGTTACATCTCCGTTATGTACTGGCTCCCTTGCCTGAGATATGGTTTGATGCATTTTTCCATGAACGTGACATTCAATATTGTTCGAGCAATCAATTTCTCAATGCCAATCATTTGATTACAGGAGGTGTATATTTTGAGCTCATACGAAATGCTGATGACCAGAAAATGATAAATTGAAGGAGAAAAGTGATGGAACTGATGGGATTTCAACAGTTAAAAACCCACGGTATTTGGTTCATAGACTAGGAGAAAAATCTACATAATATCACAAAAATCATTTCTTGAGAGAAAAACATTGCATACATATTTGATCGATTTACGGTAGGTTTCAGACAAGAAATCGGTGCTCTTCGGGCTAAGGAGGAAGTAGCTGAATGAAAAGGTGATGTTTTTTTTCGAAATGAGATAATATTCCTACAAAGACAAGAATAGTTTGACAGAAGGAAAAGAAGATATTACTTCCCTTCGAACTCAAAGAAATTGAGCGTAAGCGACGGTTATATATTTTTAATATCTGGAGGTTTTCCTCTGTATAAACTCTCTATTCATTCAATGTGAAAGTCTCTGATTCATGATTCACTAAATCGAAGCTTTCAATATTTTTTGCCATTTTCTCATCTTCTGACACGAAAAACCGATTTCTTGTGGCAAGAAATTCTCACTTCATCATGAAATGTTCATGCTCAATGAACACTTCACCGAAATCTGACATTGTCTGACACATCATCTGGAATTCTTGTCCCAAGAAATTTATCCTCAAGAGATGAGATATTTGGCGCAAGAATTTAGTTTTGTGATATTATGAAGATATTTCTATCAGTGTATTTAACAACATCACCCTATTCAATATTTGGAGTCTCCCAGACTTCTTGGTTCGAAAAAAAATCTCATAAGAGTAATATAAAAAAGAAAACGCCCGATTTTTGGCAAAGTGATGATCATCCTTAATTCAAACACGTTAATATCTTGACTCAAGAACTTTACGTTCATAAAACTCCAAAAAATGCCAAACAATCAATGCCAATCATTACAAAAAATGAAATGGAAACATTGAAGAACAAAAATCACTTCTATAAAAGTGTAAGAGTTTCAGAAATGTTTCGCAACGAGTTACGAAGAAATCAACTCGACACAAAAGGGGAAAGAAAACAGGGAAAAAGTATAAATAACCACACCATACCAAGACCCTGCTCTAGCACATTAAAATAAATACCTCGCATCAAACGACATGGCTAACGATGTGAAAACAAAATGCAGTAATTCAATTAATGCACTAGAGTAGAGTAATGAATCAACAAACTACGAACGATGCCTTGATGTCAAGTGCGTACCTAAAGCTATCTGGCGATCCGGTTACATGGCCGCTACGTCTACAGCTAGTCTACCTAAAGACTAGTTCATCTGACATGATATGTGATGTGCTTTAAGTGGTACGTTTTTCTTTTAAATATCTTTATAATCTCTGTTATTGCAAAAAATATCCTTCACATTTGCACTCCTCTGGCCGCGAAGAATTGCTCCTTATAATTTGTTCATGAATGTCGTACACTACACGTGGATTACCGTATTCAGAGCCGTCAATCACGCGCAGATCATAACAATCCTTTAATCTTTCTTTTCAAAAGAAATGGCAAGTTAATAATTACTCCCTTAAAAAACATTCAAACTCCGTCAGAACGTCAATTAATGACTTTTGGGGTCTTAATCTCTAACAACAAGCGACCTAAATTCCACATTCGGCGAGTGTGCTCAATCATTTTGAGCATGAAATCATCAGATATGACGTGCACGTTCACATCCGAATAATGCTCTTCGTAACGTTACATATCCGTTCGAATATATGTATCTTTAACGATAAAATTCTTCAATACACGAAAACAGTGAATCTGATATCGATTGCGTTGTTTGCTCTTTCTGAATTTTGTAATCGTTGCTTTGGGGCAGTTAATTTCTGATTAGTTTGGGAATCTCGATTAGCTTTCATAATTTGAGAGAGTCCAGAGAGGCGGCCGAGGAGCGACGCGATAATGCTAAGGATGGAGGACCACTGACCAGGGACGTGCTGCCGAAGAGTTTGTACCATCCGAACACCTCCTCACTCAGGTTAAGATGGTCCAGCGCTATCTGTGCAACACCCATGAAAACTTTTTTCCCCTCTATTCGGCCATAGTCACCCCATACCGTTACCTTTTGAAAAAAAACATAGTATTTGGGAATAATCTTTCTCTTTGCTGCGGCGACATTGAAATGGTCGAAGGAGATGGGTCGAAATATTACAGACGGAGTAGTTCGTAAATAGGGCGGATCATCCAGTTATTAAATGTCGAGGAGTTTTATAGGATCTTACTAAATTAGTAGACATGATATTGTTTTTTTAAAGAGGACAAAGGTTAATTGCCACGGAATTAACAAGGGGATTCATCTCCGGAATCACGTCACTTATATAAAAATGTTGGAGAATCTTCTTGAAATGTATTCTCTTAATAATTTCGACTCATCTCTTTTCGCCACTTCATTCCTTGTTCAGTTTTTTGCAGATGCATCATTCAGTTGAATATTTACCTGTAAATAGCACCCCTGAAAGTTTTCCCTGAATGTTAGAGTTTGTTGGTAGAAAGGTTCCAACGTTTTCCTCGCGGCCGTCGTAGTTTTCGCCTTTTCTATACACTTTTTCCCATTGACTAGATAAACCTTTACGTAAGGAGCTGAAAACACCGAAGATGTTAATCACCACATGTAAAAGGCTGCACAGTAAAAACGAATGTCTGAATTTCATCCACCTTTTGCAGACATTTTTCACACACCAAAAAACGTCTCAGTAAAATGAAAATTTGTTTGAATTTCGAACATGAATTAAGATGTTTGGGCATCTGTTTGTCTGAAAGTCAGACGCATTTTCATTTTACTCAGATGTTTTTTATTGTCTGAAAAGTGTCTACAAAAGGTGTGTGAAATTCAGACATTCGTTTTTGCTGTGTGAACTCTCATCATAAAGGTTTGAAGGAAACGTCAGCTCTTCAATTTACCTGGTAGCACTTTGAAGCCTGGTTTCACCTGCAAATCCCTTGCCCGTATGACCTCGACATCCAGCACCCCCTTTTGGTATTTCAGTGATAACTGAATATCACCGAGTGAAGAAGCCCCCAGCACCTGTCTACCAACCAACTGACCCGGTCCAAGTCCATCAATAAACTCACTTAGCTGACCGCCCTCAGCTGCTGTTCTCATGCACGGTGACCAACTATATTTCACCACCACCAAGCAAAAATCTATTAGTACCTATCCTCCATCACAACTAAAATTCGAACCAGTCGAGAGCAACGAAAGAAACAATTAAATCTACGAAATAAAGAAAGTAAATGAGACAAAACATTGGATTATTTAGAGATCAGTACATCTTTTTTCAGACAGGGACGTGAGACTCAAGTAGACTTAACATTATATTTTACACTCCTCGAGAGCGCACGTTCTACGGTATCGGGGGGTCGTCTGTAAGACTTTTTCAATACTGATTGAATGAGTTATCGTCAATGACCTTGCAAGTTCAGGGTGGAAGAAGAATCCCTCAATTGGATTTATCTTAGGGGAAAGTAATTCGAGAACAAGAAGAACTCACGCTTGACAGTGTAGTGTTATTCTTTCTGTGTGAGTTAGTATTCAAGATAGTGTTATTCATACAGAGGGAATGATAGGAGTTCAGATAATTGTTAAACATACCAGGCTTTAGGAAATAATTATCATGCAAAAAGTCATTCAGCACGCAAGTCTTAATAACATACTGGAAAGTAAAAATCAGCTGCAATAAATTGGTCAATCTCCCTGAAAAATCTACAACAATTTTCTTAATCTTCAAGCATCAGCTGATGTTTACTGTTTTCACATGATTCATCATGCCGGCATAAGTATAATTGATAAATCGTTATAGAATTCATTATCGAACCAGCGCTAACTTACTTGACGACTCCACACCAATTCCTCACAGCATACCTCATAATTCTCTTGATCTTGAGGATCTTATCATTTTTAAAAAACATAGAAAGTACGTGACAAGTATCTCCAACGCAGTTTCTTCTTGACTTAGATTACAATACAATGAATAAACTATCTGGTAACAATATTACACGTGACGTCGTGTGATTTTTCATCTATAATCTACAATTATTTACGCTAAAAGTCGAAGGGTACATCAAAGATGTGTGCTTATACATAGTAAGTATGTATATAATCATAAGTATAGATATTTTACCATCGTCGACCAAATTTAGGACTGGATTCGGTGATTTTGAGACTATTGGAGTTTGACAAATGGTAAAACTATGTGAATTGATGGAGAAAAAAGTAATGAAACATTAACGACGGTGCGTGAGGAGATAATTCCAGTGGTGCATCGATAATTGTGCATAAAACATCAACGGTGACCAAGCAATTAAGCCACGACATTAACACATTGAGAGAGTGGATTAGTGATACGAGCAGGCGATTTTTCAACGACAGAAGAATCCTCATTTACAATATAAATAAAAAATGAAGAAACTAGAGACATCAACGAAATTCTATTTTTAGGCTCATAATCCGTCGACTGTTGATCGTTGTGAGCAATTGAATATACACAGATCACATGAAAGACACATATAACAATATTATAAATAAATATATCTCTCCCCTCCCAAATAAACAGAAAACATCAATTTGTAATGGAATTGAACTAAATGTCCCCTTAATTCCTACAATCGAACCACGAAAATTAACGAAAAATTGACTTCAGGAGGTCAAGGACAAGTGACAAGACACACTGGAAAATAATAAAAACACATAGAGAGTGAAAAAGGTGAAGTGAGAGAGACAGAGGCAGAGAATGAGAGGAACGCGCTCGCCTCGTTGAATCGACATTGTCTAAAGGTTTTCTGTTTCAAAACTTCTCACATATTGGCATTGTTTATTTTTTTAGTCTCGCCCCGAGGAGTGGTGGGCACTACTTACGAGCTTGCTTCAGAACTAGAGATTGAGTTGAGGGATCCAGCTGTGTCACTTGCTACCGAGCCACCCTGTCTGGTTGCACCGAGTCGCTGATAAGAGGGTACGACCTCCTGGGATCGTTGAAAGCTGCTTGGTGTGCTGTTCCTTTTTCGGCTAGCTACACCGGAGGACCTTGTTTCCGTACCGCTTCCAACCACACCGCACTCTGCGTTGCAAAACCAAACAAGAAATACCGCTAACTATTTCATTGGAGACTCGTGATTTGTTTTTTTTTTGTACTTTAATTTTTTTGTTTTTTCGTGGAAAACTCTCCCTTCAACCAATATTTCTCTATCATTCGCACTCGACTTGATACACTTTTTGGTGAGTCCTCTCATCTTCGGCTCTGCTCTCTCCACTCTCTGTGTGTGCGTGTCCTGGTGACGGTGATGATAAACTTTTGAATTATGAGAAATCTTTCTCCCTTTTTACAAGAAAATTAAATTCACAATCGCTGCACTCGTCTGTACATTAGGCATTCAATATATTCTATGATAACTTGGTTGTTTTTTTGGTGAAACGCTGAACAACTATGACACAGTTAAACGTATGGAGGTGGTGATGATGTCTTTCTGCAAGGGAAAAAGTGGCAACAAAAGCAGCGGGCAATTAGAGCCGCTAAGTTCAACACTCTCACTCGGGTTTTACAATGACAAGGACTATCTCCACGTATGTGAGGAAATAATAACTAAAGTATAATTTTAGAAAGGTACAGTTAAAAATAAATTTAATCTAGTTAAACTCGAGTGCTCTATGAAACATGTAAACACCAATGGATGTAAAAAAAATAGATTGTATGGAAAAAAAATATACAGGAGAAAGGGGACGAGGGAGAGAAAAGAGCTTTCCAATCTCTTGAAAAGTATTTTCCGGATGCGTTATATATTATATGTATAGATGTAAAAGCGCGCAAGAACTAAGCGACGGGCGCACTAATGAATTGCACTCTAGTTGCACTCTATCAGACGCAAATTCAATCAGCTACCTAGGAAGAAAAACGACAAAATCAATTCTACGCTACCTAAGAGTCAATCACGCAAGAATACTGTAAAGGCTAAACGTTCGCACTTATTTCACTGTTAATTCATCAATTTAAGTCTATGTTAATTCAATGAGTATTGATTTTTCTTTGTCATTTACTTATACTCAAGGCTTTGTTTCTTGGATTGCTGAAACGATAAATTATGGGTAAGTAGTTGTTAATTGTTGGGAAATATTGGCAATTTACTCCTCTCAATTTTTCTCATCATTAATCTGTTTATGATTCAATTCTGCCTGGTTTGTCTGCAAATATTGGTGAACTCTCGGTAATTATTTCTTGTTACCTACCGTCCTAAAAATAGAAGACAGTCGCTGAGTTTTCAAAGTTCGTGAGATAATCCGTGAGGAAGCCCACATGTGCCAACATCCTCCAATGTTTTACAAGTTTTATAAGTTTTTTACAAGGGCTCTAAACTCTGCGATCGAAAGGACAAATGAGTCAGGTTTTTTAAGAGAATACGGTATGTTGAGACCACGGTTCTCGCTAAGGATCCCTGGCGTCCACTAAAAAAATAGCTACTGAGCTTATAATCGGGTTGAAACTTGGCAGTCAGTTCGAAGCAAAGTGTTTTTGCTTGAATATTTATCTTCCTCTGCAGATAAATTTAGTGTTTGTGTGATTTGTTAAATGTTGACTCTCGTCAATTCTTCTTGCTGCTTGAATTATCCCCCGCGCGTTTACTCACGTCTCGTCAAGGGTTGATCAATGAAAATAATAAAGCTACGATCTCTTTGTAATTAATCAATTTCTCAGTGGACAAGAGTCCACAGTTAATGGGGGTAAATAAAACTCAATGGATAAAATAAATCGGACCTGTCCCCGTCGCCACTGCCTTCGCCGTCGCTGCTTGCCGAGCTCGGTTGTCTCCCACTTCTGCCACTGGCCGTGTCCTCCGGCAGGACCTCCTCACTCCTGTGAACTGTAAAGGACGACTTCCCCTTCTTCCCGAACCCGAGCCTCCGTTTGCGGCCTTCCTCGCCCACGCATGTACCACCAACAGACACGCACGGGGCACGTTATCGTTTTTCAAGTTCATGATAATGTTTGTGATGATTTTTTTTTTTTGGTCCAGTTCGTAATTAATTTGCCACGATTTTTTATCAAGTCACACAATAGTTCAGGAGATCGAGTGATACAGGTGGTTTTTGATGTTTCAGTTAGCGCATGGATGAACGTGATTATTGATAATATAGATTTTTTTAGATCAGGTCGATCGGTCCACCGATCGATCGGCAATCCAAAGTGCGCCGTGATTGATTTATTCACGGATGATATTTGAGGTGGAAGGTGCAGGTCAGGTCCCAGCGACGGTTGAGAGGCGAAGATTGTTGATAATGTGTTTTTTGTGTCATTGATATATATATTTTTTGGATTTTCGATTTTTCGTGTCGGAGAGAAGCGGATAGAGATGAGAGTGGATGATAGAGAAAACAAGAATCTCGATTAGAATGTAAGACAGGGCGATTGATTAATGTTTCAAGTAACGCACTTTTGCATTAATTAATTTGTCAACAACAAATTTTTAAATTTGTTGTTTTGTTGTTTTTAAAATTTTTTTTCTGGTGTGACACTGACTGTCGACCGATATCAAAAGTGCATTGCCTTTATTTTTGTCTACTCATCTAGACTCTGACTAATCTATTGATCTCAGTTGGATCGCTCGTCGAAAGAAATTCTGATAGAGCACGTTTAATTATTTTATTGAAATGAAAAAAAAGGTAGAGTGAGAGATAATCGAAGACGATTGGAACACTTGAATCTACTACTGGGGTTTTAGTATTACGATACGACAATATCAATGGCCAAGGGAGTTGTGATTAAAAAACATTGAGATTTGAATAAATAAAAATTTCTGTTACCTGTCGCTGACAGTTGGCTCGTGCTGCTGCTCTTTTTCGAGAGACCGCTCTGATACTGCACAGCACTGCCTCCACCGCTGCTGCTGCCACTTCCGCTCTTACTGCCCGGTGAACTTTTTCTTCCTCTTCTAGTTGCCTCCTCGACATGAAGACCGACTGCTGTATCACTCAAGCTTCCGTCCGCTTGAATGCGAAAAATAATCCAGAAATTAGGAGTCTTCTTGAAGAGAATTCAGCTGACACTTCAATTAAGGTGGAAAAAATAATGGCATATGGCCACTCGAGAGGAAGATAACAGAATTGATTATCCCTGATAAAACTTCACCCCCAGCCCTCCCCCAAATATCCCTCCATTCTATTTACTCCTCTCACTTTTCTTTCTCAGTCTTTGAATGAAGTGGCAGAAAATCGAGGATGCAATTACGTGGAGAACGTGAGAGCTTGAGCCCGTTGGAGTTTGGTTCTTGGTTTTCTCGTCACAAGGGCCCATGCACGTGTACCCCAATGACAACCCGCCATTCCAGCGAGACCTTGAGCGTAATTTGGGTGACAGCCAAAGACACTGAGACACGAGTTACAAAGACAGAGACATGTGGATTGTAACAAAATCCCCAACCACCCTTGAATTTCGTGTGTGGATGATAAGGAAAACTAGAATCACGTGTGCATGTGTGTGTGTGTGGATGAGAAGAGAGATTGCCCGAAAATGAGCCACCACTCAGAGTTTTATTCTTCAAGGCAGTACCATCTTCAACGTGGTTGGGCACTCCTGATCGATTAAAAGTGGATACCCAAAGCAGGTAGGGGTCAAGTTCGTGACTCGGTGGAGGATAAAACATCTGCGCGGACCTCACCAAAGGACCAGGAGGAGGAGGGGGCTGTATCATTGACGTCAGAACACTCGAATCAAGAACATATTACATGCATTCTCCGATAGAGGGGGGAAAGGCCGGGAATGATCATTGATTGGGGGTCTCAGGGTGAGGTCATCAGAATTCCCAAAAAAGAAAACAGAGAAGCAGATATAAAACGATCACCGACGGCGGTGGCTGTGTGGTTAGAGGGTGGGTTGGCATGCGGGAGACCCGGGTTCGATTCCCCTCGGGGGGGGGGGGGGGG